ATAGATATCTACCTATGATATACAATAATATAGTATAGTAAGATAGGTAATAGGTTATTTATCATATTATTAGGTTAAGTCTTATGAAGTATTGTAATAAATCTTGAGTACTTTTATATCATAATATATACCTGTAAATATTAATGAATACAAATAATATCACAATAAATATAATTAATGTTATTAAAGAATATAAATTATGTACTCAATGATTCCCTCATACTTGTACAATTTAATGTATAGACTAGCTGTATATAATAGAGTTAATTATATAAGAAGGTAATATATTAGATTTGTAAGTTCTTATCGAAATATATCAATTTTTTTTAACCGGTGTATGAACCGGATTTTAAATTTTAGCGTTCCGACAAAAAAAATATTAGCACAACACCACTGGTTAACATTAATATGCTTTTGTCTACTTTTACATTGAAAATGAGTTGATAGACAAAGAGAAACAATTCGCATTTGCGGGGACTCAACATGAGTTTGAATGACGAATAGACTAAAGTTCTAATACTTGGCCATGCCTGCTATAGTTGCTAAACATTTCAGACGGCAAAAGTGTCGGTCTCCTTTTCATACCGATGTGGTAATGCTCAACTCGATAATTAATGTTAATGACCGATGAATACAATGACCGACGCCTAGAAATTTTTTAGGGCAAATTATGTATCACTTATGCAAAGCATGTGAGACAAATTATTATACAATGCAATGATCAGAAAGGTAACGCTCCACGAGCAAAAAGTACAAATGAAACGAGCAAACCGTTTTTGTATTTTAAGTAAATGAAGATACTGATCTGAAGTTTACAAAATAAATTATAAATTAAATATCAAAAATCATACTTGCAATTTCGCCTAAAATATTTAAAGCAACAGTGTAATCTGATATTTTCTACAATAAAGATATGCAATCTTACATTGCAACTAGTGGGGTGTATGGCATCGTGCCTTAAGGCAAATTGCTGGAACTTCCCATACCGTAACGAGGAATACTGAATGATTTCAAATAGATTATTATTAATATTGTAACCTTGTCTAATATTTATAAGAATTATATAAACTGAAAGTTGCAAAGTTGAAATTATTTGTTTAAAGTATATTAGAACTGTAGTCAAAATTAAAAATAAAATCTGAATCATATTCGATATATAAAAAAAAATTTGAAAAAAAAATGAAATAAAAGTTGAAACAATTTTTTTTTCCAAAATCAATTATTTTGTTAAGACAAGCAGAAAGTTCTTTGAATCATTTAAATCGGATGCTTAGTTCTCTCAAAAACTGCCATTTTTTGCACATTTAGCTCCATATCTTCGAAATGGCTGGGCCTGCATTTGCCAAAACACTTCTCCCAATCATTACTAATTGAATGCTTTTTTAGATCATTCAAATCGGATGCTCCGTCCTCTCAAAAACTCGATTTCTATTTTCTCCACTCTTTGCTCTTTATCTCCGTAACTGCTAGACCTGCCTTTGCCAAAAACTTATCAGCACATCTCCTTATCAATAGGAATCGAATGTTTTTTGACCCATTCAAATCGGTTGATCCGTGCGCCCGAAAACGTGAATGGAAATTTGTATCCATACATACATACACACACACACATCCATTTTTTCTGAGATATGCCAAAAAGTTCAGAAACCTTCAAAACGTCGAGAAATGTAAAAATTTTCAATTTCGATTTTCGGCCCATTACAATAACTTATCCTACGGGAAGTTAAAAGAATCATTTTATTAGAAAATGAATGATAATTCTGCCTCTAAATTATTTGCAAAAATAAATGCACGGATTTTTTTATCTTGTCCGGTTTTCAAGATGACTGAAAAACAATGTTAATTTAATTTTTTCAACATATTTCTTTTTTTAATTTGTTATGATTTACTTGCCAAAACTCTTCCAGGATCCAGGAGAACTTTGAATATTTTTCTTAAATATGTGTCGAAAGTGTAATCTATCTATTCTTTCTTTTATGATAAATACTTTTTGTAAAAAAAATATTTTTTTTAATATCTGGCCACCTTTTCGATACTTACTGCATAACAATATTATATCCGATCTTAGTTAATCAACCAATAAGGAAAGTTATTATATGTAAGTGATTATTCAGTAAAAAAGGAAACTTACTTACATGCTAGGGATTATTTCATTTTCACGATAATATGCAAATGTATTTAGGAAAGTGCAAAGATTAGCCTATCTTGAAAAACGCTTTCTATCTAAATTAGCATACTGATTAGATAAATTTAATTTCCTTGAGTACAAATGATTGTTTCCGTCTTATAACACATTATTTAAATTTTTTTCATTTCTATTGGTTAATTGGTAATAAGAGGAAATATGTAGAGTATATTATATGAAAAATTTATGTAATATATTTAAACGAACATGCATTTTTTGGAAACTATTTTTGGTGCAATATCATATATTATCTTCATCTTTTATACCTACCCTACGTCTACGCCCAATAAAATAGAACAACCCTTACATATAATCAGGATCCATTACATTGTGAAACTAGTTCATTTTGCCGCTATCAACAATGCAAATCATATGTTCGTGTTTGTGTACGGCTCTAGAGCATTTCAATTAAACATCAATTGAACTACGTTTATTGCCGTCATTGCCCCATATTGCCCCTGATAAATACGAGTTGTAATACATTAGCATCGAGAAAAAATTGGAAAGTTTGCAACACCAACTGAAGTTATTATTATAGATACATACTCATTTAATTATATACAAGTGACAAAAGTTGCATCTACAATAACATTGTCAATATTTTACAGTCCAAATATTTTACTATCAAAATACAACACTACAAAATGTATGTTATAGTTACGAATTTCTAGTAGTCTTAGATGAAAATATGTATATAGGGTGGGAACTCCCCTTTTTATGATCAAAACTAAATTTTATGTGTGTTTAAGATAGTTTGTTTAAAATACCAAAACAAAAAGGATCATTGTTTTTAAAATTTGTTTATGTATATAGCGTAATTCATTCAAAGTGAGCAAATCATTTTTTTTATTGGAATAAAATAATATTCATATAATTCATTAAATGTGTTTAATATTAAATATATTCATATTAATTTTTCGTTCAATGTGTTATTTATCCGATTGAAAAGTGTCAATTTTTTTTTCAACTTTGTTTTATTCAACAATCAGAAATACATAAGGATTCCTATAAGCTAAAATGACATTATTTGAGAGTAAAGTCTAAGAAGAACTCCAGTGAGATTTTTTATTTTAACAATTAAAAAGATAATGTTATATTGAAGCTAATCTAAGACTAAATCTGAAGGCCATTGGCGTTAATTAATGACTATTTTATGGTGATTTTCGTTTAGCACGGTTTTTTATGGAACCTATCTTCCGTACAAAAGGATAGGTGTATTTAAAATGCAATTCACGAATTCAGTCATTTTAGTAATTCCTGTTTACGAATTGGCTGGTTAATTTATATCCATGTTCCATTTTAAATAATAACGAATTAGTTAAAATCGCTTTAAATGAAACGACCGCAAATACAATCAATATCATGTCTTTAATCGACTCGGCACTATTTGATGTTGTCAATTCATCAATTGATTTAAATGAGAAGTAATGTCTTTAGGATTTATCAGGTCAAAATTTGATTCAATCGATTTATGGGTCGATTCTGCCGTAAAATAGACCAATGATATGGCAAGGCCATGTTATGCTACGTTTTTCATAAAAAATTGTACTAAAAACTGTCAAAATACATTGCGATCAGGCGTTTTACTCATAAAATCTAACTGTTCGCATGTATTATTATGAAACATCAGATAGATGCACTTATGTTAAGATTCTTTCTCGTTATCTAAGTTTTCTATCTAAAACGCTTGACTGCACAGCAACCACATAGCATTTTGACAGATTTTAGTACCATTTTATATGAAAAACGCCGCGTAACATAGACATAGCATTGGTATATTTTACGGCATAATGGGCCCATGAATCGATTCAGTCAAATTTTGATCTGGTAGATCCTAAAGACATTACTATTAATCCATTTTGAAAAAAGTACATTAAATTAAACTCTTTAACTTTTGGCATTAGGAGGTTGAAACGACAATGGCCCTTAGACTTAGTCTTAGATTAGGTCTAATATATCATATTAATTGTAAAACTGAGAAGTTCTCATTGGAATTCTTCTTAGACATCACTCATAAATATTGTCATTTTAGCTCATAGGAATCTTTATGTATGTATTTCTGATTGCTAAATAAAACTGAGTTAAAAAGAAAAAAAAAAAAAAAAAGAAAGAAAAAAAAAATTAAACTCAAAAAAATCGCTATTCTTTGAAATTTTGAAATTTTATTATAAATATGGATTCCTAAATGTCCACAAATTCATATAAAATAAATTTAAGTATCAGTTCTTACTGATACTATTCTGTGTGTATAGTAGGACGTTTTCAGGATATACGTTTACGTTAAAAGTTACTGGTACAAGATGCAAAGGGTTAATATGTTAACGTACATGAAAAAGGCGACAATAAACTAGTGGTGCATGGCATCGTGCCTTAAGGCAAATTGCTGGAACTTCCTGTACCAACATTTTTTTTAAAAAAAAGATTAAAAATTTTCTTAAACTGAAAAAAATAGATTTTTCAGAAATTTAAAATTTTTGAAAAAAAATATTTTTTTGGAACAAAACCTGAAAAAAAAAGTTTTCTTTGTTTTGAAATATTTTGGAAATGAACCTTCTTCTTCAAAGCAATCGTACTGCTTTAGCTGCACGGAGACGCGTAAGCTTAGAAATGTAAACGAAATTTATACGTATTATTAAAATCTCCATAAAATATCTGATAATTTGATGTGCCTATGTCTATTGATCATTTTTATAAGATATATAAACATTTAACAATTTTATCACCAAACAAATTTTCGACATATGAATCTGAATCAACTCTATTTTTTATTTATTATTGAATGCAAGCGCAGGCGCCCTATGCCTTTTCGTGTTTTAGTGCAGTAGAGTACATTTTGTATCGATCGCAGGATCATGATGGCAGTCGGGGATGTTATGCGTTCTTTCAACTCTCGCGACCGCACCCACCCCGTAAAGTAGAGGCACGAGCTAGACAGGCGCCCGAATTGATACGTAAATTGCGATTGTCGGGCATGAATAAAATAAGGGCCTATGTACATTAATATCTGGATCAAATCATTTGATAGCAGTTATTTGATATTTGCTACAAATAAGACATAGCGATCAGGATAAAGTAATGGCACGAGGAAAGGAAAATATACAAGGACATATTATTCTGCAGTTGCTACGAAGTGTGATCTATCAGAAATTATTCCAATTTGGACGTGGCGTGCAAACAGAAAAGTAACAATTTAGAGATATAATTTTTTTCATTATACTACATTTTCTCATACTAGGGCATTTAGTAATTGTTCTGGCGATACTATATAGATTTTTGAATGTATGGCAACCCAGTAGTTGTTTAAACCAGTGACTATACTCAAAGTATTTGTTGACATTTTTAT